CTCCTTCCAGAGCCTGCTCCCCTGCCCTCCAGCAGCGACATCGTTCATCCCATCAAGGTGGACGAGAGGGGATCCTTCCTGTCCTACGACCTGTCCCACCGCGCCCTCCACCGCCGGTCCCCTTCCCCCAGGAGCAAGTCTCTCGCCTTCTATGAGCTGCGCTACAAGGGGGAGCCCCTGAAATTCAACCTGAGCCTCAACACCAACCTCCTGGCCCCTGGGTTCGTCAGCGAGAGGCGTTTCGGGGGCATCTCGGGGGCCAAGATCCAGCCCCTCAGCTACAGCTCCTGCCACATGCTCGGGGAGGTGCGGAGCCGGGCGCTGCCGGGGGGTCTGGCCGCGCTCAGCACCTGCGACGGGCTGGTGAGTACGGAGACCTGCAGCCCTGCAGGAGGTGGCAGGAGCCGGGTGGGATCCTGGGCTTCTGCTGGAAGCAAGGGGAAAACTCCTCCCAGCGGCAGCAGAGCCAGGGTCTCAGCCCGTAGGTTTGATGCAGCCGTGGATGAGCTGGCCGTAAATTTCCCATGGATTCCAGTGGTTTGGGAACTCTCCGGGACTGTGTTTACTTGTTTATGTCCAAATTCCCAAAGAGAGCAATTTTCATGTCGCCTCTGCCTTCTGGTACATAAACATGGGGTTATGAGGAACATCTGAGAACAAGGTGTTCAAAACCCAAAGGTGCTGGTGACAGTAACTAACTCTGTGGCACATGCAGTGACTGCACCATAACTCAGGTACAGCGAAATGTCACATTTTGGGAACCCCTCCCCTGCCTCATCCCACTGCAGGTATTTTCAAAGGTGGCAGCACCTGTGAGAGTGTAAATTTTGCTGAAAGCCAAAGTCACTTTCACAAACAAGAGTCTTGTGTTTGTGCTTGGAAAAGCCAGTTCATGACTTCAGCGTCAATGTCCATGTCTTATCAGCCGGCGTCCAGCTCACCCAGGTCCCAGGTCCCCACTTGGGTTTCAAACCTCTTGGGGGTTTGCAGAGCTGTGTTACTGTGCAACTGGGTAGCTCCCGTGATGCTCAGACCCCTGTCCTCAAAGGCTGCAGAAAATAGCCAGGCCCATTGTTTGGATAAAAACCAGACTGATGGACCTGGGAGGAACCCAGGAGCTTTTGATTCATTTTTCTGTGAATGGTCTAATTAACCAAAGTGGGTTTCAGGGTGTCATTTCCTGCTG